AAAGTAGGTGTGACCAAGGAAAACGGTCAAACGGCGTTCCAAACGTTGTCGGATTTGTTGATATTCTTCCACCAATATTCCACAAAACTTGGAGATTTCATCATTCATACTGACTACAATCAACTCGTATTTCCGATGCTGTTATTTCTCAAGCATTACTTTGATGTTACCTTGCAAACAACGCTGTTAGATACGGATGAGAATTATATCTGGTTATTATTCCGCCGAACCATAAAGCCGGATAACGTCTGTCCTTGCAGTTTTGGTGAGCGGAATTGGGAGACGCTACCACATTGCCGGTGGTGTTTTCGAAATTGATGCAATACTTGCTGATCTCTTGCCACGAAATAGCTCAGAGTGCGTGAACCAAAACATGCGATTTACTAAGAGAGTGAGCCTTATATCTTGACCCGAAAGATGACGTGGATACGTAGATGCTCTCTTGTCAGTAGTGTCAGCTCTCGAAGGGAGACAAACAACATACAGCACATCATATGCTGTCGATTACCGTGTCCGAGATTGAGTTGTCATTAATCGACCTGATACAGCCCTTCAGGTTAACAAGTCGAGGCAAGTGGTATAGAGTCTGGATGACCGAAAACTTCACCAGATGAACTGAAGCTGTGGCCATTCCGGATTAATTGGCTGGCATAATAATGCATGTCTTGATAAGTCGCGTGAGAACAATCCCCGGAAATCTGAAGGCTACACCGCCGTACTTGCACACCTTTGGTGAAATTGGCATCGGGAAAAATGGGAAACAATCCATACCATATCCAGATAAACGGATTGACGGAGATGATTACCAAAATGTTTAAGGCACGGTTGGCGTCGAAGGAGAGATTGGGAAGAAGCTTTGCCACTACTCCTGTTTGTTCACCCCGCGTCCAGACAAGCGGGCACAAAGCGACCTCCATTTCAGTTTGAAATACTGCAGAAAGAGCGAACCGAAATCTGTATGCAACTCAGGACCGGGTGATGTGAAATTCTCTTATCAAAATGAGGAAACTACCCAGAGAATTTCCGATTGGTTCGGAGTTGACGTATACTGATCATGAATGTGCGACCGCCTGTGATCTCGGGGAGAGGAAGCTTCTGCCGAACTGGATAGGACCGAATGGAGTAAATGGCCGACGATTGCCTGTATACACGATCGCTGCACAAGGACCTAGGCGGGGAGCTCATGCGATCCATTTGGTGAAGTGGTGCGAAGGAGGAGAATAAACTGTGGTTTCCTTTGCCACATTTGGCACATTTCAATCCTCATCCCAGACACTGTCCGCAGATACTCGGTTGTCACGCAGCGGATAATTTGCTGATAGCTCATCTTCCTGATCTTGCGGTGATCATGACCCCATGGGCGTGCCTCACATTGTCGAGAATAACTATTTATTGATTTATTTATTCCGTTAGTGAACCTGGTGGATTTGCCTTCGGAAACTTCACACAATTCTGTGCCAGTTGCGAGTCTTATTTGTTTGTATTGATAAGCCGGCTAGAACGCACTGTTGCAGATATATCAGTACTGTGGAAATAATAAGCTGAGTTATCGGAAAACTCGTCTTGCCATGGATTCCTGGAATTATCCCGTCTGCATGATACTGTGGCTCAAATTCAACCCAGCCAAATGACAGCAGGTTTACCAAATTAGATTCTTCGATATCATTCCAGTCAAGTCAACGTAAGATTTATGTATCCAGATGTGTATATTTTTCTCACTTTAGAATATCGACTAAGGACGGGCCAAAATACAACAATAGTAGTGTAATGTTGTATGAAGCGAAGAAAGAACATTGCGGATAGGTGTCACTTGAATAAGCGGTTAGTAATGTGAAAAAATAAATATTTCTAGGCAGAATTCTAGACAGATGTCAGAGAATGAATAAACAGAGCAAAAGTTTTCCTGTTCTTCAAATATTTGCTCCGTATATCGTCCTTGAGTTTGATGGATTTGGAGCGGAGCTGATACAAAAGCCGTAATAAATGAATTTTCGTGGCTTTGCTCTGAATACGTCCTAGTACAGTTGCATACTGATCGAAAAAGAAATGCTCAAATCACAAGTGTCGTTGAACACTTCAATCGCCCACCGTGCAAATCCTTAGAGAGTATAAGAGACCAGAACACCTACCACACGACACAGTAGCTCGCAGTGACTGGAAAGCGTTTACAGCATTTGCAGAACTGCATACAATAAGCTTGTTTGTAAATTGTTGACGAAAACAGTGATTAACGGATGACAGGACGAAACTAGAAACGTGCTAGGGAAATTACTGCGAATTAACCCATTTTGCTTAGAGTTTGTTTTGCACTATTCCGGATATCTGAAGGTTGACAAATATCGTTTCTGATGCTTTTGCTTCGTGCCATAAAGGATAGGATTCACCTCATTTTTGGAATAAGAGATTGCATCAGTTGGCAAGTCGTAGCCAAGACAATCAGAAGTTACTGGGCTTGCGGTGCATGTGCCGTTCGACTAAAGGAACATCCAATGACACTTTCATGACTTATGGAAAATGGCCCCGAATTCGACAGTACACCTATATGTGCATGACGGAAATTTCCATATGATCTCGGTGGATTTAATCAGCGGTCAGTTTGAGAGTAATGACCTGACCTCAAATATTGCTTTATCCGTAGTAAGAAGGTGATTTGTTGCATTGCTACACAAGGCATTACAAAGAATGTGGTTCCCGAAAATAACAAACGAGTACTTCTTATACTACGGCAACTGATTGAACAACTATACCTACAACTCCCAATCGCCTATGGTAGAATAGGAAAGCAAAAGCGACATAGAATTACGCAAGGAAGATGCTAACCAGTGCCACTTAGTTTACTTAAACTTGTGTGCAAGGATTTGAAAGAAGGCAGAATACTATCGACAGAAATAGGAACAGACTCGTTTCTAAAATTATTCATCAGCCGCATACACACTTTGCTATCATTATACAAACGTTTGCTTCAACTGGAGTTCCAGTCACATGCGTTTCTACAGAACGGTCTGCAGTCAAGTGTGCTTCGTCAGTAGTGGTGATGCTATCGGAAAGCACGGGGACTGAAACCGCTCGGAAGCGGTAAAGCGGTACGGACACAATTAATGCATGAACTTCTTAAGAATTATAGGAGAGACATCGGGCAAACTGAAGATAACAATTTGAGTTATATATTCGCAGTAAATCAATCAGCATCCTCGATAAGAATTCATTCATAAAGCATTGGAAGTCAACCTCAAAATCGTAAGCGACCACCGGTTTGTAGTGCCGTGTAATCAGTTATCTGGAATGAAAATTGTTTTGTGTTTGTTTGCAAGTGGCGTATCCATCGGCAAAAACGGAACACCAATCGTCGTTTGGACAAAGTGTACCATTAAGTGATAAGTTAGTTTAGCACATAGTGTATTTACTTGCCGCCTAGACTCAGTATTTAATCTTACGTGTACTACACACGACAACTGCGTATCTGAGCGCAAGATAATCAGCTCTTCGCCAATGTGCTGAGCGATTTTTACTTGCACGCAAATTCCGGAATTAATAAAGTAAGCGTTCGCAAAACTGGGCAATATCTGTTACCTTATTACTGAGTACAAGCTAAGCGAAATGTCGGCGATGCCTCATGATATAAAACAATGTGTGGTGAGTTCATGTCACACTAATAAACCACTAAACTTGCAACATGGAAATAGTTGAGGAAGTACAGAATAGATTACAATTTGTCGAAGAAAGTTCGAACTGATCGAGAATTCATGATTCCAGCGAGATTTGGGGATAATCGGTCGGTTTATTTATTTGTCCACATATCTCACCAAGATCATTCGCCGATCACTCGGAAAGAGATGTTCGTTTATGCATGCGCATCCTCAAGAAAATATCGGTTTCCATTTGACTATAATGCTTCATAAGTCTAGTACGATCAACACTGAATTGCCCCCTCTCACGCTCAAGTCGCGAAGAACCGATTTGCCCCCAACATATTCAAACATTTCCAATTGCAAGCACTTGGCCACACTAGAGGAAGATGACGCACGCAGCACTGAGACGAATTTATTGTTACCAATAAACTGTTCGAAATCGTCATGAGAAAGATGAGAAAGATGTGAGTAGGAAGGCAAGAGAGAAAGTTGCACGCAGGTATGCAAACACGATTCGTTGCTGTTGTGGGTCACGTTGTGATTTTATCTGCGTCACCAAGATGTGCCACATTATATCAACGGAATTGGAATTAATAGAAAAGTAAATATGAGGTATGAAGATGTGGGGGGAATATTGGTGGATAATTTTTATCACTCGATTGTGGGATGTATGATTATGTGACCACAAGTTGGAGACAAACTGTACTGTATCTATAATTCTAGATGTGTGTGGACCACATTAGTATTCCTGCTCGAAATGTGGACTGTGGCCGATGGGTCAGTAGGCTCTACGTACCGAACCGTGTCCGAGATATGGTGCTTTGATGTCCAAGAGGATGCTGCACCCGCAGCTTTGGTCGTGACATCCTGAAGAAAACAACCCCCACCGGGTCGCCCTTCCACGGACACATTCTGCTGCACAACAATACTTGATTCATCAACACCAGCATCCTGTTGATCTTCACTCCCATCTCGCTGCTCATCCACATCGGTATGGCAAGCACCGGCTGCACCCGCGCAATCTGTCTGCGTCATTTGTGTGCTGTTGGCTTACCTGCGAAAGAGTATCAAAACGTGCACGTCAGTGGAAACTCAGTGTCAGATTATTTTTGCAGTGGAGTGTGTGAAGCTGGCAGCATAAATTGAATGACATACTACGCGATGCAGTTAGTCTCGTGAGAGCAGCCTGCAGCGTATGTGAGGCGTAAGCACAAATAGCCTATTAGGACGGTTGATTGTCAGAAATATTTGGAAGCAGACTTCAGGGTGTATAAGCGAGATAAATTTGGTGGATCACAAACTTTTAAGCGCACATCTCGGAATGAGCCTTCGATCTGCAGACAGAAAGCGACCGAAGAGGCTTGACAAATTCTCACAAACGCGATCTGGATTAAAGCCGTAGCGAAGCAAAAGAGATAACTAACTAGCCGCAAGTTAGATTAGGACGCCAAACATAGAGTTATTACCATATGGTAGTACAACCTAATCGTTTAATGGTGTTTAAAATAATATTGGTGATATCTCAGGCAATGCATACAACGTAACCCATCGGTGCAACTGAGCAATCCATGGCATTCTTCAACTTGCTTACCTCTGTTGTATGGACGATGAACGAAATCAGATCAACGGGCTGATGTTTGCCTTTATATACTTATTTCATGATTGAAGGTCTAGTGAGCACGCGTGTGTTTTCTCCAATAATTTACAACCTTCGCTTAAACAGATTCGCTTGATGAGATTCACTGCCCTGTATGCTGCATGTGATGTAAGTTGATGTAAGTGTCAGGTACGCATTCGCCAGTTTGTTTAGCTTGTCAAATCTTGTGTGTTCGCCTGGTCAAACAATAGATCATAGCCTCACTATTTGATAGGCAAGTATGTTTTGTTCATCTTCAGGGATTCGCCGGTGCTACCTTTAGGCGAATCGAAGTGAAGAAGACTGAATCATAACTTATCATTTGAGATTGTTAATATTGCGTGTATATCCTCAATTAAGTTCACCTTTGCAATTAACTCGGCTATGTTGATGCGCTGAACTCTCTTATTTACGTCATGGGCGATAATTACCTCCCACATGACTTTCCAGTTTGTTTAGCTTACCGCATGTTTCATGTTTTAGTGTCTTATTAGTGTGACATAAACTCACCATTTGATGGACAAGCCCGTTGTCTTATTCTTTAGTGTTTCACCGATGCTGCGATAAAGCGATCCAACGTGTGGACCACACATTGTTTTATATCATGAGGCATCGCCGACATTTCGCTTAGCTTGTACTCACTGATGATGTAACTGATATTACCCAGTTTTGCAACCACTTACCTAATTAATTCCGTGAATATGCATGCAACTCAAATTCGCCCAGCACATTGGATTAGAACTGATTATATTTTACTCAAATACACTGTTGTCGATCGCGGTACACGTAAGATTAAATACTGAGCCATGGAGGCAAGTAAATACAGTAAGCGCTAAAAGAACACGTCATCTAATGACTCTGCATGTACCATAAGCAATCGTATTTGTGTTTGCCGATGGGGTAAAACCTCAATGAATCATCACGGTTAAAAAGCAAGTGGCTGACAAGTCCCATAGTATTGTTAGAATAAATTTTAAAGTCGATAGGATCAATGAACAACTAATTTGGCAGTTTATGCGTCCATCGATTTAAATTCACTACTGCATTTAATGGGAATGAGATGTGCGCACAAAATCGTACAAAGAGCTCTTATCATGCAGTGAGTAAGCGATAAATAGAAAAGAAAAGATACCGCTCACTAGTGTATTGCTTCATTTGACCGACGTGAAACGATAATCAAGTTTGTATATATCAATGTTACACAAACGCTTATCACTTGAGCATCTGCAATTAGCAAAGATTGCCTGTTACCTGTTCTGAACCGAGTGGGCAAAGTGAAGCGATTGTAGAGGAAGAGTAGTTAGTAGATCTTGTAGATCGGTTTTGAATTGTTCTCCGATCGTGGCGGGAGTTTCTAAACAATGTACATTGAAATCACCCATGACAAGAATGTGAGTGCACTTTTGTTGTAAACTGCATCTTAAAGCAGCAGCTAGGTGGTAGTCGGGTTCGGGTGATGAGTTAGGGGCGCGGTACACCAAGTCAATAAGGCAAGCGCCTCTGCATTTTAACTGCAACCAACACCAAAGAGAGTCGGGGAACTGCGAGTCTGAAACCTCCACGGCTTCGCAATGTAAGTCGTTTCGGTAATACAGGATTACCCATCCTACTTTTGTGAGGCTGTCTTCCTGGATCAGCGACATGCCCGGTCGCGAAATTCAGCGTCCGTCATTCCCGTGTGCAACCACGTCTCGGAGATACCAATGACATCATATGGCGCAGGAGCTTGGAGATCTTTCAGTTCGGCCAGTTTGTTAGAAAGACCCTGAGCATTTGTATACAAGCAGGCCAGTTTCTCGGTCTCTAGGAGCCCACAGAGGGGTGAAGGTGTCACGTGTGGGAGAATGCCGACTGATGGGAGGTCGGCAGTTACTCGTTTTTTTGATGGGATAATGATACCTCCTTTGCGTCCCAACCTTCTTTCAGACCTACGTTAGAGTCAATTAAAGCAGCAACCAAGTTACGCTTCTGTACACTCGTCGGTATGCTTGCTGCTTCAGTTGCTGTAATATTTGAGCTGTGCAAAACGTTTGCAACCTTTAACCGAATTTCAGAATGAACATGTTTCCGATTTCTCCGCCGTCGATCTAAAACATCCTTTGCTTGTTGCTCTGACTGAACCACAAGTTATAGGATTCTAATGCCGCATCCTCTATAACTTGGGGAGAGAGGTATCCTGGTGAGCGATAATGCCACAATATTATCTTTGCAGCCATCACGCTCGCATGACCGAGGTGCGCCGCTCACAAAGGTGGAAAAGTATAGAATGTTAACTAACCCACTGCGTCAGGTAACGACACCATATTGAAGGGCAGAAATGCGAAACCTTAGAGGCTCCAAGCGAAAGGCATTGGCGGGTTAGGAGTATGTCATCGATTAGTAAAAATCGGTCTGGTTTGCTCGCACTGTTTGGAATGGTAGCATACGAATTGTGCAAATGTGTCCCAACAACAGATACGGGAGCGAAATAGCTCCCAAGATTCATCTTGGTTCTGTACTGTGTGTTCCACCACCCTCCTCGTTAAGTGCTTGCTTATCCTAGCTCAGAAATGTGACCGGTTAACCGCAAAGCAGAGCAGAGGATAAACGATAAGATTACTTTAATGGAAGTGAGTATGCATCACAGAAGCGTAGCGGCTTCTGACCAACGGAATAGTGAACAATTCGCTTCCGCTGAACCGCAATCAGCCACGTCTCCATCTCCGTTATCTTCTCCAACTTTGGTAAAACGCTGGGGGAAAACAGACCGTACCTACGAGAGTCAAACAGTATTCAGGTCGACGAAAAGCAGACACCACTCAAAACTTCTCGTTAAGCAAATTCCACTAGACCTGACATCTTGCATTAACAAGGATGAAGCAGCCGAACACCAACCGTCGGTACCTGTAGCTAAATATCTCTTGTCGAGACTAAGCCATCCAGAACATCAGTTACCTGTGCAGAGATTGATGCACAGGTCCATCGAGAGGTCGTCGTTGCGGCCTCTTCCATTGTAAGCACAGTTAACGTGAATAGAGGGACAAACAGCAAACATTCGCCACTCGTCAGCAGGTCAGGACAAACGAGTATCATACCTTGTAGATCAACGAAAAAGTGCTCCAATAACAGTGTCCGGACTGTTGTATGCTCAAATGTCCCTGAATCTACCGCCATCACATTGCGGGATAAGTTATCAGACGACCAAGACCAATGGAACTCATTGTGCATGCAGATGAGTATCAAAGCCAAGCCAATAAACTTATTACGAATTACTCGTCATCCGAACTCGCCACACTATCGTGAACACAGGCTTATTCGAGTAACGGTAGAATCCTCCACCGACGTAAAAATCTTTTTGCTCTCCGCCAGCGCGCAAAAACACGGATCCTGTGGGATACGTATCTATCCTGATGTCCCTTGGAGCGCGCGACAGAAGAGAGGCACAGCAAGCAAGACCGCCTAAACATAATCTTCATACATGGCGTGCCAGAACATCCTTCTAACGGTGTTCAAGAGACCGGAAAGCATGATTTAGAACAGTGGCGGTTCATTCGTGAAACACTTTTTTTGGATAATATTGTGGCACTATCGCTCACCAGGATACCTCTCTCACCAAATTATAGAGGATGCGGCACTAGAATCCTAAAACTTGTGGTTCAGTCAGAGCAACAAGCAAAGGATGTTTTAGATCGACGGCGGAGAAATCGGAAACATGTTCATTCTGAAATTCGGTTAAAGGTTGCAAACGCTTTGCACAGCTCAAATATCACAGCAACTGAAGCAGCAAGCATACCGACGAATGTACAGAAGCGTAACTTGGTTGCTGCTTTAATTGACTCTAACGTAGGTCTAAACGAAGGTTGGGACGCACCTTGGCCGAATCAATTTGAAAAGGAGGTATCATTTTCCCATCAAAAAAACGAGTAACTGCCGACCTCCCATCAGTCGGCATTCTCCCACACGTGACACCTTCACCCCTCTGTGGGCTCCTAGAGACCGAGAAACTGGCCTGCTTGTATACAAATGCTCAGGGTCTTTCTAACAAACTGGCCGAACTGAAAGATCTCCAAGCTCCTGCGCCATATGATGTCATTGGTATCTCCGAGACGTGGTTGCACACGGGAATGACGGACGCTGAAGTCTCGCTACCGGGCATGTCGCTGATCCAGGACGACAGCCTCACAAAAGGAGGATGGGTAATCCTGTATTACCGAAACGATTTACAGTGCGAAGCCGTGGAGGTTTCAGGCTCGCAGTTCCCCGACTCTCTTTGGTGCTGGTTGCAGTTAAAATGCAGAGGCGCTTGCCTTATTGACTTGGTGTACTTGGTGTACCCTAACTCATCACCCGAACCCGACTACCACCTTGCTGCTGCTTTAAGATGCAGTTTACAACAAAAGTGCACTCACATTCGTGTCATGGGTGATTTCAATGTACATTGTTTAGAAACTCCCGCCACGTTCGGAGAACAATTCAAAGCCGATCTACAACATCTACGAACTACTGTTCCTCTACAATCACCTCACTTTGCCCACTCGGTTCAGAACAGGTTGCAGGCCATCTGTGCTGTATTGGTTTAAGACTGCCCGTTGTGTCGCAGTGATCACGCCGTGATCAGTTTCAACTTCGTCCGCTATGCAGAATATCTGCATGTTAACGATGCGACTGTGCGAACCATAACAAGCTACGATCGATTAGCCCAGCTCGTCAGCGTCACAACATGGTCGTTCCTGGAAGTAAGGAGCTCGACGTC